ATCGCATCTGGACGCTCCTTTTAGAACGGTTTAGCGTTGAGGTCTGGGGTTCTACTCTAAAGGATGTAAAATTCTACTCTAAAGGATGTAAAATTGATAATTGATAAACTGCAGTAAAGCTGAATTGGCTAGTAATATAGAATAATTTTCAGATCCCTTATTTTACTATTTCTAGTGTTAAGCATTTGGTCCTTTTTCTGTTAATTGTTGTGAGTCTGAATGTTTTACTTACCCTTCATTTTGAGAACTATGTTAGTAGATATCACTGGTTTTAACTACACAAGACTGTTTTAAATCATAAATAGTACCCTTTTATAACATCAGCCTTTTGGAAATCTGACCTAATGAAGCATTTTAAATTAAAACTGATGCTAACATAAGGTGGTTGCTGACTCAAAATGGAGCACACCAGTTCCCATTCCAGGTAGGCGTGTACGTGTGTGTGGACAAGGCAGGTGTTTTCTCTTTGCCTTCCACCACAAAACAAATAGCCAAACTCCTTCCTTTCCACTTTTTCTTCCTAATTACCTCAGGGTCATTGGATATTGACAATGTCATTAATTTACCATTTTCTATGTAGAAGTTTTTTCCCCCTAGATTCTGGGAGAATATTGTAGTTCATTATAACATAAAACAGACCTTTGTATTAGTTTATATCTCCTCTCTTAGGGGGATAATGCATCTTTTTACTGAAAAAACAAACATTTCTTCGAGTCTACGACTATAAATTGAACGTAGCAGGTACCTAACATTCTCATTTGATGTTGCTCTAAGTTGCCATGGAGATGTAACCAGCTTCTGATGTCCAAGAGAAGGAAGCATGGCCTGACTTGGAGTCAATTTTATTATGTTGGTATGTGTGAGCCTATTGGCTACTGTGCAAACCCATTTTATTGTGGACTTTCTCCATTTGTGATGAACCTCTTTTTTACCAAGCATGATGCCTGATTCAAGTCATTGATCTTTCCTGATGCTGTGTCCCTGAAGGCTTGTGATCCTATTTCTAAGAATCATACTTCTGTTGCGATTTCTTCCACTGCTGGTTGGTTTGTTCTTCTGGAAACCCTTGTTATACTTCTTAATCTTAAACAACACTGTCGATTGAAAATTTCAATTCTTTTATCTTCCTCCTTCATTGTGTAGCTTTCACTAGCATATAAGGCAATTTGATATGCAGCAAGATAGATTTCCCAGGGTTCTCAGTGGACTTTTATTCATAAATCATGGCTACTTTTGGGGTCACATTTGCATTAATAATGGTCATGTCTTTCCTTACTTTCTAATTCTGTTCATCACCATTGCGTTCCGATAGAATTTATGTCAGTACATTAAGTTTACACTGTAGTGTGATTCTGATGCCAGGGGAAGCAACAGCGTAGGGGGAAGCATTATTTTCATTTGTTTAAAGTACTAAGTATCTTAAGCATTTTAACTTTGCCACTTCAAGGACCTCTACCTTTATTAAGTGGACCTGAATTTTACTTTTTAAGCCATTCATTTAGTAAACACTCACAGAGTTCCTATTATATAAAATCACTGTCATTGAGTTATTATCAGCTCTTAGCAACCCTATAGGCCAGAGTAGAACACAGCGTTTCTGGGACTGTAAATCTTTGCTGAAGTAGACAGCTTTATCTTTCTCCAGCAGAGCTACTGGTTGATTTGAACCACTGATTTTTCAGTCAGAAACCTGATGCTTAACCTTCTTAATTACCAGGGCTTTTTTTCATACAATAAACTGGTTACTAACAAAAAGGAATAAGACATTGTGCTAATTCTCAACAAACTCGAACATTTGAAAGATACAGACAATACACTAACAAAAGGTCAGTATATCAGATGAAGGTATCAGCGACTATTTAGGAAGAAAGGTGGTGTTTGGTAAAGAATGCCTGATGTGGAGAATAGATGGACAGAGGAGACAGCATTAAGAAAGACTAAGAGGCAATCTATAGCCTACTCTCTACCTTATAACCCTAGGAAATTAACAACACATTCTTATTAAAAATGCATCTATGTGTGAGAAATCTAAACAGGGACAGGCTGAGCATGGTCTTACATGCCACATCCAAGAACTTGGGCTATTTCCTACTGTAGGGTACGAGATAGCATAGCGATGCTGTAAGAGAGTGAGAGGGTCAATTTTGGACTATATAAACCAATATGGCAGCTATGTGATCAGACGTGTTTGTGCCAGTGGAAAAGAACAAGCAGGGAGTAAAGGAGAGTGCACTTCTGAAGTGGAGGCTA